GTTATAGAATTTTAAATGAGTAGTTAATTTTTGAGAACATGTACGTATAATTTTTATTTCTTATTGATTAATACAAAATAATGGTAATCACGTGAAAAATAGTCATAATATTCGAAGAAGTTTTTTAAAAGATTCGCTATAATAACGGAGTAAAAATTTAAAAACTAATATCTGCATTATCTTACAATTTGTAAGTATATCGGAAATATATAATCATAAAGCAAAAAAGCTGGATAGTAATTCATAGGAGAAAATATATAAATGTAAATTGAAAAAAGTAAATATTACCTGAAAGGAATTGTTTTTTTAAGAAAAAGTTGATTACAATTCCATTTCATCAACACCATCTTCATCATCATCACCCAAATACCCATCATAAGAAATTCTATTGGTTTCGACATCTAGGTCTAAATCCATTTCTTCAGAATCAATTACAGGATCCTCAGGAATAGGAGATAGTTTACCGTTATCCATGATTTCGGAAATGCGACGTTCATGTATATTTTCCTTATTTTTTCGAGGGCTTGTCCCTTTATGTTCCTTATTGAAAAGGAAAAATAAGACAATAAATAAAGGATCAAAGTAGAGAAATAATATAAAAATACAATAAATTAAAAGATGAATTTACCGAATTAGAAGATTCAATTGGCAACCATGGAGGACGTTGATATAAGATTAATGCCCGAACTGGATTTTCCCTGCATAAAATGTTATTATTTTTTGATTGTTTAGAAAGGATGCCAAGTTCAAATTTTATAGGTTGAATTTAATATCCAACACATTGATTTACGAGATTATCCGTTAAAAAATGCGCACGTCCTCGGGAGTAACAATTCCTTTGAAATCTTCTTTAATGATCTTCGAATTTCATGAGATAATGTAACAGAATTAATGACGGAAGAAGAACGTTCATCATTCATATTAGCATCATATTTCTCATCGGAATCTTCAGAGGCATCAGCATCGAGATCGGTAACCATAACAACATGTTTTCTACTCTGAGATTTATTTTTCCATAGATTAGCGGTCAAATCCGATATATCAGTTTGTTTAACATTATTAGTCGCATATTCTAAAGAAGTAAAAAAGACGTCAAAAATAAGGTTTTACAATAATCCAAGTTTTTTTTTTTAAATTTGGAACAAACCTTCGTCATTGTTGTGAAGACTTAAGGCGGTTAATTCAGAAGACAAGAACTCAGAAACGTAACGTCGTTTAGCACGTTCAGTTTCCAACTGGTCTATTTCGACTTCAACAGAATGTTCACGCTTCCGAGAAGGAGGAGTATAAAGTGAAATAGAAGAATTCATGATCCTCTAATCAACAAATTAAATATAGAAAGAATGTCAAGAA